TCACCATCATCGGCATCATCAGCTTAGTCAGCATCCTCATCAGCAGCAGCATCCGTATCGTAAGCATCATGATCCTAATCATCATAATCTGCATCATCGTCGTCATCCTCGTCGTCCCCAGTATCATCATCATCAGCAGCAGCAGTAGCAGCAGCAGCATCATCCTCATCATCATCATCATCATCATCATCATCATCAGCATCGTCATCATCATAATCATCATCATCATCATCAGCAGCAGCATCATCATCGTTATCATCATCATCATGATCATTATCATCAGCATCATCATCATCACCATCATCATCATCACCATCACCATCATCATCAGCAGCATCATCATCATCAGCATCAGCATCACCATCATCATCATCAAAGGCAACATCAGCAGCAGCAGCAGCCGCAGCAGCATCAGCATCATCATCCGCATCAGCATCGTCGTCATCATCAACAGCAACATCAACCTAATCCGCCGCATCAGCATCATCAGCGTAGTCCAAATCATCACAAGAATCCTCATCAGTATCGGCATCGTCATCACCATCACGATCACCAACACCACCATCATCACCATCATCACCATCATCATCATCATCATCAACAGCAGCATCATCATCATCATAAGCATCATAAGCATCATCATCATGGGCATCACCAGCATCAGCATTATCATCGTCAGCAGCAGCAGCATCATCAACAACGACATCACCACCACCAACAACAACCACCACCACACACAGCATCACCATCATCATCAGCATCATCATCAACAACAACACAGTCAACATCATCATCATCAGCAGCATCATCATCAGCAGCATCATCATCTACGTCATCATCAGCATCGTCATGAGCCTCAGCATCATCATCAGCAGCAGCCGCATCATCATCATCATCATCATCATCATCATCATCATCATCATCAGCATCAGCATCAGCATCAGCATCAGCAGCAGCATCATCCTCATCATCAGCATCAGCATTACCATCGTCAGAATCAGAATCATCGTCGTCATCATCAACAGCATCATCACCAGCATCACCAGCATCATCCCCATCATCATCTTCATCATCAGAAGCATGAGACGAACCAGTCGCATCCTCAGTATCTTGATCATCTTCAAAAGCGTCCTCATCATCATCGCCACCATCACCATTTACTATACCATCTCCTTCAACCACCACCATTAATGAATACCATCAGCATGAACACCATCAGCATCATCTGCATCGTCAGCATCATCATCAGCAGCAGCATCAGAATCGGAATCATCATCAGTATCAGAATCTGAATCAGCATGAGAATCATCATCAACCTCTTCATCATTATCATCATCACCATCGGTAGTTTCATCATCATCACCATCATCAACATAATCATCAGCACCATCATCATCATCATCATCATCATCAGCAGCAGCAGCAGCAGCAGCAGCATCATCGCCATCATCACCATCATCGCCATCATCACCATCATCGGCATCATCAGCTTAGTCAGCATCCTCATCAGCAGCAGCATCCGCATCGTAAGCATCATGATCCTAATCATCATAATCTGCATCATCGTCGTCATCCTCGTCGTCCCCATTATCATCATCATCAGCAGCAGCAGTAGCAGCAGCAGCATCATCCTCATCATCATCATCATCATCATCATCATCATCACGATCATCATCATCATCATCATCATCATCATCATCATCATCATCATCATCATCTTCATCATCATCATCATCATCAGTGTCAGCATCATCATCATGACCATCATCATCAGCATCAGCATCAGCATATTCATCGTCGTCGTCATCGTCATCATCATCATCCACACCCACATCCACATACACACCCTCATCCTCATCCTCATCCCCATCCCCATCCCCATCGTCATCAGCTTCATCGTCCATCCGTATCGTCTCATCTCACTGTCTTCTCCTTGTCTCCCTCTCCGTGTCCTTCTTCTCGCCCCGCGCTCACAACGGCGGAGGACTTCTGACGACGCACCGAAGCCCTCTAAGCCAGCCGAGGGCCTTCTCGGACGGGGTCGGGAGCCCCGAAGAAGGCATCTTGAAGGCGGGAGGGTATCTTCTTTGTCCCATCCATCCTGTGGTGTTGGGTCCTCGTTTTGAAGAGACGGCGCCCCGCGTTCCTCCCGCCTCATTCCTCCCTCTCCTCCCCCTCCTCCCCCTCCTCCCTCTTCCCATCCGCCTCGTCATCGTCATCGTCAGCGTCACCATCGTCATCATCATCGCCATCGTCATGATCCACATCATCGTGAGCAGCGCCATCCCTATCGTCAGCGCCGCGCCCCTCACACAGTTCGTGGCCCCACAGGGAGCTCCACCGAAGGCCCCAGTGGCAGGGTCCGCATACGGGGACCGCCACCCGTTTTGGCACACACACACACACACACCCTCACACGGTTCATGGACCTGTAGGGAGCTCCACCGAAAGCCCCAGTGACAGGGTCCGCATGGCGGTGCCGCCCCACTTTGGCGCACCCCTCACACGGGTCGCGGCCCCATAGGGAGCTCCACCGAAAGCCCCAGCGGCAGGGTCCACATGGCGGCGCCGCCCCATTTTAGCACACCCCTCACGTGGTGCGTGGCCCCATAGGGAGCTCCACCGAAGGCCCCAGTGGCAGGGTCCACATGGCGGCACCGGCCCATGTCGGCACACCCCTCACACGGTTCGTGGCCCCATATGGAGCTCCTCCGAAGGCCCAGGAGCAGAGGGTCCACATGGCGGCGCCGCCACATTTTGGCGCACCCCTCACACGGTTCGTGGCCCCATGGGGAGCTCCACCGAAGGCTCCACTGGCAGGGTCCAGGGTCCACATGGCGGCGCCGCCGCCATTTTGGCACACCCCTCACACGATTCGCGGCCCAATAGGGAGCTCCACCGAAGGCCCCAGTGGCAAGGTCCACATGGCGGCGCCGCCCCATTATGGCGCACCCCTCACACGGTTCGTGGCTCCATAGGGAGCTCCACCGAAGGCCTCAGTGGCAGGGTCCGCATGGCGGCGCCGCCCCATCATGGCGCACCCCTCACGCAGTTAGGGAGGCCCCAGTGGCGGGGTCCACATGGCGGCGCCGCCCCATTTTGGCGCACCACTCGCACGGCTCGTGGCCCCATAGGGAGCTCCACCGAAGGCCCCACTGGCAGGGTCCGCATGGCGGCGCCGCCCCATTTATGGCGCACCCCTCACACGGTTCGCGGCATCATAAGGAGCTCCACCGAAGGCCCCAGTGGCAGGGTCCGCATGGCGGCGCCGCCCCATTTTGGCGCACCCCTCACACGGTTTGCGGCCCCACAGGGCGTTCCACCGAAGGCCCCAGTGGCGGGGTCCACATGGCGGCGCCGCCCCATTTTGTCGCACCACTCGCACGGTTCGTGGCCTCATAGGGAGTCCACCGAAGGCCCTAATGGCAGGGTCCGCATGGCGGCGCCGCCCCATTTTGGCGCACCCCTCACACGGATCGTGGCCTCATAGGGAGCTCCACCGAAAGCCCCAGTGGCAGGGTACGCATGGCGGCGCCGCACCGATTTTGGCACACCCCTCGCACGTTTCGTGGCCCCGTGGGGAGCTCCACCGAAGGCCGCAGTGGCAGGGTCCGCATGGAAGCGCCGTTCCGATTTCGGCACCCCTCGCGCAGATCGAACCCTAGAGGGGGCGTCACATATGGCTGCCGTGGACGGAGTCTCCCAGAGATCTCCAGGCAGTTTGCATCAGGATGAGGGAAATTATTTCGGATGAGGAGGATGTTGATGAGGACCAGGAGGACCAACAAATACCAGCAGGCCCTCCTCGGGCTATCCTGAGCAATACGGGACCCACGGCATCTTCCTCCCATAAGCCAACATGGGGGTACACTGGAACCCATGTTGGGGTACAGTGGGCTTCGCCGAAGCCGTCTGCTCCCTGGGGCCGCTCGCACCGTGAATCGCGCCACATCTGCCTCTTAGGACGCACGCGGGACCCGCGTGCGTCCTAAGAGGCCCAGGAGGAGGAGGAGGAGGAGGAGGAGGAGGAGGAGGAGGAGGAGCGAGGAGGAGGAGGAGGATCGAGGAGGAGGAGGATCGAGGAGGATCGAGGAGGATCGAGGAGGCTCGAGGAGGATCGAGGGGTAGGCTCGAGGAGGATCGAGAGCCGAGGGTCGAGGCTCGGGGACTGCCCCTCGCCAGGGCCCATGTCGGGGCACGCTGGGGCCCCCGCCCGCCGCTGCGCCCCTCGAGAGGCGTTCGATCTCCCCCGCCCTGCCCGCGCGGGGTGCTCGGGCCGGAGCAGGAGACCAGGAGTACCACGCGCAGCGTCAACAGAGAGAGAGAGAAAACGGGGACAAAAACGGGGAGAAAACGGGGACAAAACGGGGACAAAACGGGGACAAAACGGGGACGAAGCTGGGGAGAAAACGGGGACAAAACGGACGCGCAAGGGGCCCGGGCCAAGTCCGGAAAACAAGCGTGCAGCACGCCACGGAGACACAGAGAGAGGAGACTACGCTGGGAAGAAAATGAAGACAAAACGGCCCGCACGGGGCTTTGGGCCACCGTGGCCCACCCCTCCTCCGTCTCATATCCTTCACGGTACTCGCGGCTGCATATGGTTGGGTCCTTCGTCAGGCGAATTTTCGGTTTGCTTCCCTCTCGTCGACATCGCGTCTTCTCTTTGATCGCTCGAGGGCCACTCGAGCGCGACAAGATGTGGCAAAATGCACGCGGGTCTTGACCCGGAAGCGCCCGCTCGGGTCTCAACCCTGCGCGAGCACGCGCACGTCTGTGTGTAACTCCATAACCAGAGCCATGTAGCGAAAGCTCCCAAACGGAACTAATAGGAGCCGCGGCTTCGAGCCACGGCTTCCCCCCGGCGCCGGGCCCCCGACCGAAGGCAGCACCAGGAAGGCCACGCAGCAAACGATAGGTGATCCGACAGCGGAACGACCGGAAACTTCCAGCGGCGGCGATCCGCACCCCAACCCACGCATCCGCCCCTCCCCCCACCTCTTCTGTTCTGCTACGCGCTGCCTGGTACACCAAATGCATAGAAACACTGGCTGCGCTGCGTGATGCACGCGACGCACGACTGAACAAATCACCCGCGCTGCCTGAATTACGCCGCGAGCGCCGCCAGCGCTGCCGCGGCGAGGCCGGGAAGCGCAGAGAGGCCAGCAAGGGCGGCGCTGCGCCGCGCGAGGCTGGCGGCGGCCCGCTGGCCGGACGAGCCGCAGAGGCCGTAGTTGTAGACGCCCGAGCCGCCCACCGCCGTGCCCCAGGCGAGCGCGCCGTCCACGATGTCGTCGTCCGTCGCGGAGGAGCCGAGGGTCTCCCAGGCGCCGCTGACGATCTTGTAAGTGGAACAGTATTCCACGCTGTTCGAGGTGGACTTGGAGTAGCCGTAGCAGTCGTCCCCGTAGTCGCTCGTCGTCGGGCAACAGCCGCCCAGAGTCATCTTGGAGCCGTCCGCGTCCGAGCACGTAAAGGCCGGGTTTACCACGAAGCAGTTGCCGTAATCGCAAGTCGTGCCCGTGCTCATGCCAGACCGCGATCCATCATCGTTCAAGCCGCACCTCACCACGCCCTTGTGGTACTCCGTGCCGGATCCAAGCGCGACGCCCGGGGTGTAATCGGTCGGGCAGCATCCATCATCGCCGTAAGCCGCGACCTCCACCTCGTCGTCGACTCCCATCGTGTTCCAATCCGAGATCTTGACACACTTGGTGAACTCTGCCCCAAGGTCGTAGTCGGAAAACTTCACGGTCTCCGCTGCGGCCACGGCCGCGCACCCAGCGACGAGCAGGGCACGCGAGCTGGGCGCCATGGCGAATGGGAGATATCTGGAACGGCGCCGAACAGCTCCACAACCTCGTCTGCGGCAGCACGCGAGCAACAGCTGGAACAAAAATGGCTTGAGCCAAAATGGCTACGAAAGGCGGGAGGGCTTCTTGAAAGCCCCCCCCTGCTCGCCGCCGAGAAGAGCAGCAAGGAGGGAGGCAGCGAGGAAAGGAGGAGGAGGTGATCCTTACAACGACTTTGAGCCTTCGTAAGCCTCCTGAGAAGTCCAGGGATGAATTTCGGCGTTCCTGTTGTCCTGCTGGGGGCTCCTGGGCGGTTCTCGTGGCCACGGCCCCACGCGACTCGAAAAACGTATGACGGGTGTGCCTACTCTTGAGCAAACAGTGGCAGAAGCCCCGAACCCCTGGCGTCGTAATAAATTTCCACGGCTGCCGCGGCTCGGCTCGTGACTCGGAACTATCACGGAAAGACTGGCGACGGGAGACCAGTCCCGTGGACGGGGTCGGGAGCTCGAAGGGTCCTCCACTTGCTCCTCCTCCCCCTCCTCCTCCTCCTCCTCCTCCTCCTCCTCCTCCTCCTCCTCCTCCTCCTCCTCTCCTGTTCCTGCTCTGCTCCTGCTCCTCCTCCTCCTCCCTCCTCCTCCTCCTCCTCCTCCTCCTCCCTCTCCTCCTCCTCCTCCTCCTCCTCCTCCTCCTCCTCCTCCCTCCTCTCCTCCTCCTCCTCCTCCTCCTCCTCCTCACCTCCACCTCCACCTCCACCCACCTCCACCTCCATCTCCTCCTCCTCCTCCTCCTCCTCCTCCTCCTCCTCCTCCTCCTCCTCCTGCTCCTCTTCCTCCTGCTCCTCCTCCTGCGCCTCCTCCTCCTCCTCCTCCTCCTCCTCTTCCTCCTCCTCCTCCTTTTCCTCCTTTCCCTCCACCCTCCCACGCCCTTTTCCCTTCTACTCCTCCCTGCTCCTTCTCATCAGTTTCCTCATCCATACCTCCTCATCCTTCACTCCTCCGTCCATCCACCTCCTCCCGCGCGCGCCAGCGGGGAGAGAAAGGAGGGGAGGGGGAAGGCGAAGGAAGGAGGGGAGAGGAGAAACGAGGCTCGAGGTTCGAAATTCGAAGATCGAAGGCCTGAACATACTAGACAGATTATCGTTACACTTCGAGCCCGTGCGCATCGGAATCGTCCGGAGCCCTCCAGAGACCTCTGCAGGCCAGGGAAAGAAAAGAAAAGGAAAGGATAGAGGAGAGGATAGACCAGCGGAGAGGAGAGGAGAGGAGAGGAGAGGAGAGGAGAGGAGAGGAGAGGAGAGGAGAGGAGAGGAGAGGAGAGGAGAGGAGAGAAGAGGGGAGGGGAGGGGAGGGGAGAGGAGGGGAGGAAAGGGGAGAAGGAGGACACGAGACGAGACGAGACGAGACGCGACGCGACGAGACGCGACGAGACGAGAGTAGAGGAGAGGAGAGAAGAGGACAGTAGACTAGAGTAGTGAAGAGGATAGAGAACGAGAGAGAGAGAGAGAGTTTTGTTCCTTATGGCTAGTGAGGCCCGCGCTTGCGGGTCCGCCTCCCGTCCGTGCTGCGAGCGCGGCCTGGGCACGTCGGGAGCCTCGAGCCTCCTCGGTTGCGGAGGAGCCTGCTGGTGGAGACAAACGTACAGGAAGACGGATGGGACAAAACGGGTGGGTGGAGAGAGAGATAGAAAGAGAGATACCCAAATCAGCAATCCACCCAATCGATAGCGGATGGGTCGGCACGCCGGAAGCGACATGCTAAAAAGGCGCCTCACCAAGGTTATCAATCCTCATAGCACCCTCATTCACACACGTCGCACCACGGCCGCCACCATGGTGAGCCCAAGACTTCCCATCGCTCCTCGGATCTTCTGGTATTCAGGGAGGTTGAAAATAGACCATGGCACCCCGGCGGCGTCCGCAGCTCCCTGGAGCAGGTACGCCTCATAGATGTTGGCCCAGGGCAGTGTGTAGTAAGCCTTCGCTGTCTCGAAGAATCTGGAACTGGAATCGGGAACCACGATGCACCAAATCATGGAGAGCACGATCCCCGCAATCACGCCAAAAATGAACACCCCAAGCCAAGATAGCAGGCCACTGACGATACTCACGTCACATCCGGGCCCCTGTCCATCGTCGAGGGTTGTCTGGAGCTCGTCCAAGAAACCGTCTCAGATCGGGCTGCCGCGGATGATTGCCATGACCCACTGCGCCTTCGCGGCCTTGGAGGTCGGCGGCGTACGGCGGGGTAGTAGGAGTGGATGACCTTGTGAGCCTGGGCGACAACTCCCTTGTTCGACATCGCCCGCTCGAGCACGGCCGTGGCCTCCTTGACGTCCAGGCTCTCCGTGGGCCACGCACTTCCCCCCAGTACTGACTGGAGCCAGCCCAGCTCCGAACGGCTGAGCTGGTCGGGAGTCTTGGCCTCCCGCGTCGGGGTCGACGCCCCCCGCGGTGGAGGCTCGCCAGGGCCGTCCGGGCCCAACTGCTTGTGGGAGGCGAAGTGGTTCTCCAGCGTGCCCTTGAGCGAAGCGGCCAGCCACTCGCCCTGCCTCCGCAAGCGGAACTCCTCGTCCTTGTCCTTCTTCTGCTGGAGGAAGGCGGCGTACTCGCTATCGATCTTCGCGTGCTGCTCCCGGGCCTTCTCGAGCTCCATCTTGCTGAGCTCGGGGGCGCCTCCGCCACGGCGCGGCGAGGTCGAGCGCGGCGGCGAACTCCGCCCCCGGCCACGGCGGTCACGGTCACGCTCGCCGCATCCCCAACGATCGTCACGGTCACGGCGGCCCCGATCATCTCGGTCGTAGCGGCTGTCACGGCCGCGCATGTCGCCCCGGAAGTTGTAGTCGTCGTCGTCGTCGGATCGGCGCCCGTCGCCACGGCGATCGCGTCGATCCTGTAGTCCACCACGGTCGCCGCCCATCCAGCGCCCGCGCGGCTGCCACGGCTTCCCATGGCTCGCCATCGGCACCCTTTCGGACTGGTGGAAGGTGCGGAACCAGATTCGCGTTACAGCTCGTAACTGCTGGGCCGAAACAGACCATGGAAGCGCGTGCACCACAGAAATAAGGAGGGAGGGGGGTACCAGAGCAAGTACAGTTCAAAAAGCAGCTCCAACATCCACATCGTTGTTAACACCGACGGAAGCTCAAGAAATTGCGCTCTGGCTAGATGACTGGCGAAGAGAGATTTCAGTGCGCCGAATCCCTGGGGTAGCACTCCCGTCCACGGAAGGATCTGCGTCTTGCATCTGTCCTGTTCTTCCCCCCAGAGCCAGAAGCGGTTCCCGTTCTTAGGTATGATCGTGTAAGACTCGCCGACAGTGTAGATGTCAAGATCCAGCCACGTGTACGACGGCGGCCACCTGTCCGAACTCGTACCCGTAGTCTGCGAAGCTGATGATGCTGACGAGCACGCCGGCGTCGCTGGTGTAGGTGATACTGTGATGTCCGAGGCTGGGCTGAGACCAACTGTGTACACGTGCGTGAGATACCCATACAAACATGACCGGCAGTACCTGGTGCTCAGTGCTCATGGCTAGTATGTCGTCTACGTATCTCCTGATGGTGATGCACAACGATGCGGAGCCCGACGATGATGTCGTACACCCTTTATCGGCAAACCTGTTGGGCCCCCTCTCTGCGCAGAGGTCGCAGTGGCCCAGCAAGGCCGACAGGGCCAATCCAGAGAGCACGCCGCCAATCGGGAGGCCGTCGAGCTGGTGCACGACGCCTCCGATCACGACGAGGCTCACGAAGCAGAAACTGATCAGGGCCCGCAGCACGTCATCGGAAGAGACGCGGTACCAGGACGGAGGAGTGGACCCCTGCCACCGCTTCGTGCGCTGTTGGCGGCTCCGCTTGACAAGGCACGAGTCGACCCCCAAGCGGCGCTCGACCTCTCGTCCGAGCGCAGCCCAAGCAGCGCCGACGCGACCCGCCGCGCACTGCTCGTAGGCCTGGTCCGCATCCGCCACCACGACACTGAGCTCCCGCATCGGCGCGGCGCACCGCGCACAGCGCGCCGAGCACCCGGCGGGGAGATGCTGGCGCATGTCCCGCACGGCCGCGCCAGCCAGGCAGGGATCGAAGACCTCCTGCGCAAGCCCCGCCTGCTGCAGGAGGGCGCGACCTCCACGCCCAATGATCCTGCACCCGTACGTGCCCGGAGCGTTGGCGCAGTTGACCACGCGCCTGAAGCAGCTGTGCATCGGCTTGCCGCAGGTCCGCTGGCCACTCTCGCTGAAGCGCTTCGACTTCACCGTCGGGAACGCGTAGGGTGGAGACGTAGGCGAGGAGAGGTGAGGAAGAAGACGTCGGTGTAGCAACCACTCGGGCAGGCCACACCGTGCTCGTGCCCACAACCAGGCGCTGGCGGACTCAGGCGTGAGGTCAGCGCGCACTCGCCATGACGGGTCGCGCGCTGCGGACTCCAAGAGGTAGCGCACCGTGTATGGACCGTCCGCACGCCAGATGCGGTCGGGCTCCTTATCGTCGGCGATGTAGATGCAGTGGGGGACACTGCCCAAGCCGTCCCGCATCACGGCCTCCTGGCGGGCCCACTCCGCAGGGGGGCTCGGCAAAGCCTGGCCGAGGGCCTCCGTCGAGCCCCGCAGATGCCGCAGCCCGCGTCGCAGGACCCCAGCATGGAGGTGTGCCTTCGAACACCACGCCTGCAGCGCCTGGCACGACTCCCTAGTCAGCCGGCGCGGGTCGCCCCATACCGGGAGTCGCCATGTCCCCGCGAGCCTGCCGAGGCGGCAGGGTGGCCGCGGGGGCTCGGGCGGGGCGTCAGGTGGGTGGCCGACCACGTGTTTGGCGCAGAAGCGGCTCGCCGACACGCGGTCTTTCCAGCGCGGCTGCCCCGCGAACCGCACACGGACGCCAGCCTGGTAGATGCGGCGAGTCGGACTGAACTTGATCCCGCTCGTCACCGCGCCGAGGCCTCCACGGAACCAACGCAAGCGAGCAGGGTGGCGGAGCGCATGAGGTACACGTACCGTGGGGACCCGCACCACTGGGTAGCCCATGGCCTGGACCGCGAGGTCGATGTGGCGCCTGGCGGCACGCAGACGCAGCGGAGAATCCAGCAAGACCTCGATGAACGCCAGGGCGCGGATCAGGATCTGCGCCAGGCAGGCACGGTCCCCCTTGGGCCGGGGGAGCGGGGCAGGCTTGGCCGCCATGTACGCCAGCAGCAGCCCCACACGGCGCGGCTCCAAGATGTACAGCGGGCCTTCCTGGCCAGTGCGGTGATGCCACTCCTCCAATTGGCGTCGGTACAGCATGGCATACGGGGCTGAGTCACCGAGGGCCCCTGGAAAGAGCGCTTCCTCGACGGTGGGGTCCTCCGTGTAGCGCTGGAAGACGTGCTGCCACAGCTTGCCACCGACGCGTCGGCGCGGGGCCCGCACCCAGCGGGGGGGGCGGCGGCGCCGTCGATGTGGGCAGCTCAGCGGGGCCAAGGTCCCGAGGCCCTTCCTGACGCTCACCGCCTTCGCCTCCCTGGCATCTGCAGCGTTTGCGGAAGGCTGCCTCTGCGCCAGCGCCTGCCGCTCAAAGTGGAATGCGGCCCTCTCGGTGTCCAGCAGCAGCAGTGGCAAGAAGAACAAGGACCCGAGGCACAGGCGAAGCTGCTGGTACCGCGGGCGGCATCCAGGCCGCGTGCGGGGGGAGAGCAGGGCGCGGACGTGTTCCGCGACACGGCCTTGCACTCCAGGAAGCCCCCCAGTGCGGAACATGGCCTTGCCGACGTAGTCGTGGGCTTCCGTCGCAAGCAAATACACTGTGGCCGTATAGTCCGTGTTGGTGCCCAGCGCCACCGCGCAGGCGATGGAGAGCATCGGGTGGTGCCAGTCATGCAGGGCATCTGTCCACTCCTGTGCCACATATGGGAGAACTCGCCGAACCCATCGTGGCGGGTGTTGCACTTCACCATGTACCACGTGTCGCCGGAGCTGCAGGACACCTTTGAATACGTTTATTCTACGTAGCACCCCGCAATTGCGGATAAGAGTGAGGGGGCGGGCGCGGGCGACGCGGGCGTCGTCGAGCCGGCGGACCTCGTGGCCCCCACCTTCCTTGTCGATGGCGCTCTCCTCCACCTCCTCCTCCTCCTACTTCTCCTCCTCTTCCTCCTCCTTCTCCTCCTCCTCTTCCTCGTCCTCATCGTCATCGTCATCCTCCTCCTCCACCTCGTCCTCATCCTCCTCCTCTTCTTCCTCGTCCTCCCTCTCCCCCCTCGTCTTTTCATCATGGTCCTCCCATTGTCTTCCTCCCCCTCATCGGCCTCCATCATCGTCCTCCCATTGTCGTCCATCATGATCATCATCCTCCCCATCCTCCCCCTCCTCGTCCTCCTCCTCCCCCTCCTCCCCCTCCTCCCCCTCGTCCTCCTGATCCTCCTCCTTTTCTTTCTCCACGTTCTCCTTACATCCTCTCTTCTTCCACGTTCTCCTCGTCCCCTGTTTACTCATCCTGCCTCCCCTCCTTTCCCAAGATAACTGCAACGCAATCCTTTGTTCCACTTTATGCTCCCCGCCTTCTCTGATTAAGGCAACTCGCCAGGGCAAAGTTGCTGGACGGGCTGGCGTGGATGTGCGGGGCGTGAAGAGGTCCTTGCGGGCTCAGACGGCATGCAAGAATCCGCCGCCGCGCTTGTGCGGCATTGGTTTGTTCAGCGAACGTGGTTTAGGTCGCGGGTGGGTCGCGGGCTCTCCACCTCCACCTGGAAGGAATGCAAAAGCAGCCCGCCGCAAGCGCCAAAAACATTGGTTCGTACACGGAACGAGGTTTGGGTCGCGGGTGGGCCGCGGGTTCTCCACAGGGAACGAATGCAAAGGATGCCCGCCGCAGGCGCCGAAAATGTGGTTTGTACCCTGAACGTGGTCGCGGGTGGGCCGCGGGCTCTCCACCTGAAACGAATGCAAAATATGCCCGCCGCAGGCGCCGAAAAATGTGGTTTGTACCCTGAACGTGGTTTGGGTCGCGGGTTGGTCGCGAGTTGGTCACGGGATGTGTCGCGGGCTCTCCACTTGGAAGGAATGCAAAAAAACCCGCCGCAGGCGCCGAAAATTGTGGTTTGTACCTTGAACGTGGTTTGGGTCGAAGGTGGGTGGGTCGCGGGTGGGTCGCGGGGTAGGTCGCCGGTGGGTCGCGGGTGGGTCGCGGGTGGGTCGCGGGTGGGTCGCGGGTGGGTCGCGGGGTGGGCCGCGGGGGGGTCGCGGGGTGGGTCGCGGGGTGGGTCGCGGGGGTTGGGTCGCGGGGTGGGCGCGGGGTGGGTCGCGGGGTGGGTCGCGGGTGGGTCGCGGGGTGGGTCTGCGGGGTGGGTCGCCGGGGCGGGTTGCGGGTGGGACGACGACAACAAACACAACAACAACAACAACAACAACAACAACAACAAACAAAAACAACAACAACAACAACAACAACAACAACAACAACAACAACAACAACAACAACAACAACAACAACAACAACAAGAATCCGCACCGCGGAATTCCACATCAGCCACGCACCCAGGGACAGTGAATGACCGTTCGGCCCCCTCACTCTGATCAAGATGAACGAAATCAAGGACCATAAAGGGGAACCTTGAAGCGGACGGAGGCCTTCTGGAGTGGGAGCCAGGACGTAGTCGATGAAGAAGGCAAGCGCAGCACACGCGTGGACCACAGCATGCCGGTGATCCCGACGGTGCCAGAGCCACGTCAGCACATGGTCGCGGACATGGCTCTGCGGCAAACGCCTCGAAGCAGAGCAGACATCGGACAAGAACATGTAGGTGCATCGAGCTGCCGCTGGCTGCGCAGTTGGGCGGGGCCAGTGTGGCCGTGAGGTTTCGGCCAAGTCTGTCGGGCGCTCTCCAGCGAGTTCTCGCCGCTGCCCTCTGGGTTGCGCCACAGGTTGCTCGCAGTCATCTTCACGTGCTCCACCTCCGCGTACGAGAGGATGCGGCCTAACAAATTGTAGGTGCATATCTGCGAATCCAATGGGGACGCCGTCTGAAGACTCGAACAGCCAATCTACGAGCACGATCACACCTATGAAGAAGATCTCTCACCACAAGAAGAACACGCGTATGGACGGCACACCCGGCACGAACACCAGGCACCTGATCCCGCGGCCACCGTTGCACGAGCCGGATCAGCCGAGGTATGAAGAGAGTTTTGTTCCTTATGGCTAGTGAGGCCCGCGCTTGCGGGTCCGCCTCCCGTCCGTGCTGCGAGCGCGGCCTGGGCACGTCGGGAGCCTCGAGCCTCCTCGGTTGCGGAGGAGCCTGCTGGTGGAGAAAAACGTACAGGAAGACGGATGGGACAAAACGGGTGGGTGGAGAGAGAGATAGAAAGAGAGCGAGAGAGAGACAGAGATGGGGGGGGAAAGAGAGAGAGAGAGAGACGAAGCGGACGAGCGAGCGAGCAGAGCATGTTGGAGAAACATGGCTATAGAGTGAAGAACTCGGCGCTTCAAAGACAGGACTCAGGGGCCCCAGCGCGAGGAGTCCTTGAACAGTGCAATCTCAACCTCGAAACCCTTTCCTACCCTTCGGGCCCCATCCCTCAGCGCGCGATCTTCGAACCACCGAAGAGCGAGCTGGGACGATGAGCGAATGGGACCAGAGTCGGGAGCACCAAGACAAAGACTGGTGAGGAGGGACAAGTCAATTCTGGCGCGGGGGCATCACACGTAGGAGAAGCAAAAAACGTGAACTGCTGGAGGTCCACGAGGAGTTCTCGGACCGGCCGGCGCCAGGGGCACGAAGACTGCCAACGGCAGGGCCGGAGGCGCCGCGAGGGGGTTCCAGCGCTGGTCCAGGAAGTCCGCGCGAACCGCTAAGTCGGGCCTGTCCCTCTACAGGGGGAATAACCAAGAATAGTCGAAAAAATAATCCAGGGACGACTTTTGTTTTGTATTTTGGGGCATTTTTGGAATATGTTGGGGGTATTTTTCATTTTTCGTCCAAAGTCGCCTGTAGGGGGACATACCCGACCTAAGCGAACCTCCGAATGTTCGCACTCGTGCAGCCGTGTATTACTCGAACGACACCCTCCAGGCAGACGGGAGGCGATGCGATGCAGGGCTGAACCTACACGGTGTTTTTCGTTTTCGTTTTGTTTTCGTTTTCCCTCGCGTTTGTCTCGAATCCGCCTTTACCGCAAAACGAAGTCGAAACGAAAACGGCCCACGAAATCACCAAAAACACTATTTAGGTCCAGCCCTGATGGGATGTAGACTGAGGCCATCGGCGACCGAGAGGGGCCGCTGGAGACTCTGCCCGTGCTTGGTCGTGGGGTTCATGGGCACGTACCCGGCGAGCTCGCCCGCGGCCACGTCGAAGACCATGAGGGCCACGTCGGGCTCGTCGACGACCTGGCCCCGCGCCCACCGAGTCTGTGGGCATCTCGGGTGATGCTCGGGCCCGGCAGACATCTGGAGACCTCCTCTTCCTTCTCCTCTGGCTGTTTGCTGGTGGTGCTCCTTCTGTCCTCTTCTCACTCTCTCTCTCTCTCTCTCTCTCTCCCTGTCTCCGTCTCTTTACTCAGAACAGGGGAGGAAGGTGAGCGAGGATGGGCCTTCGTCGAAACGGCGAGACACACAAGGAACGATTTGGACTTAGCGTGGTCCTAGTTGCATCTACCCTATGCGTTCGACAGGAATTCGGGTGCGGAGCTGGGCGTGCTGATCTTGGCAGGTGCATCTAGTCGGGCACAGTTGCGCGAGACTGTGTAAAGCGCCTGGTTCCACCATTCGTTGGACCACGCGGATGGGCTGGCACCAACCGGCGGTTAGACATACTGCAATGCAGGTCCCATTCGAGCATACACACACCTTCGCTTTCGCTCCAAACAAAAATCCGACAGTTGCTGCTTAGAGCCAAAAACGGTAGCGTGTGCCACGGGGTCCCCTACGCCGCAAGGGCCAGCCCCGTGGTCTGCGGCCGCCAAGGCTTGTCCTACTTCTGACCGTGGTAGACTCTGCGTCTCGTCTTCTTGTGATATACAGAAGTCCGACCTGTTGGCTGATTGCATATGAAAAGATCAAATGGGAGTGACATGCTCCTCGGGGACATCACTAGTCACTGAGGCCCCACATGCGTTTTGTTCGAATTCTGGTGGACACTCATCTATCCAGCAAAGCCCTGTGACTGGAAGACTGCACGGATCCTGTTTGGGGAAGACTCGTCGAGAGATGACCACTGCCCTTCAGAACCTGATCGGACAAGAACGGGAAGCGCCGCTTTAGTCTAATGGGCGTATTGGGCGAAGAAGAAAAGGAAGGCGAGGGCAACGAGGAGTCGATGACGAGGACGACGTGGCGAACGTGAGGATAGCGAGGAGGAGCATGAGGACAACGAGGAGGAAGAGAAGCACAAGGACGAGGACGAAGAGAACGAGGGCGAGTACGAGGAGGAATGCGGAGGGCGATGATGACGACGACGACGACGACGACGACAGAGGACAGTACGAGGCAATTGGAGAAAGACGTTGCTCCTGGCGCCGCGCGGGGTTCTCTTGGGGCCTGTTGGGGGCTTCTTGAGGGCCCCTTGGGTCCTCTTATGGGGCTTCTGGGGTCTTCTTGGGCTGTCTGGGCGCGTCGTGGGGTTCTGTGGGAGCTTTCTTAGGCCGTCTCGGCGCTGGGGGCCTCCTGGGGCGCTCCTGGGAGTCTCTTGGGGCCTTCTTGGCCCTTCTTGGGCCGTCTTGGGGTTCTTGTGAGCTGTGTGGGTGGCTCGTAGAGCGCTCTTGGGGGTCTCTTGGGCTCTTCTTGGGGCGCTCTTGGGCGCTCCTGGGGCTCTCCGGGGCGTCTTTTGGGCCTCCCGTGGGCCGTTGGAAAACACTCCAAGAGCGATTCGAACACGACGTCGACGTCTTGGCGTTATCTTGGACTGTCTTGGCGTTATCTTGGACTGTCGTGGGGCTCTGGGGGCCTGATTGGGGCCCATGGGGAGCATTTTGTAAGCCTCTTGGAGGCTTCTGTGACCCTCTTGGACTGTCCAGGCGTCTCTCGAGGGTCTGTGGGGGCTCTCTTGGGCTGTCTTGGCGTTATCTTGGACCGTCTTGGGGCTCTCTTGGCCGGTCCTGGGGCCTCTTCGCGCGCTCGGGGGGGCCTCTGGGCGCCTCTTGGGGGCCTCTTGGGGGTCTCTTGGGCCGTTTTGGGGGTCCCCTGGGGGGCCTTTGGGGGCTCTCTTGGGCCGTTTTGAAGCCCTCCGGGAGCGACTCCAAGATAATGCTGGTTCGGAGTCCCCTCCGGAGCCGATTTTTCGAGGATGTCTCGAGCGAGACGGCCATTTTTCCGGAACCTGACCGGACAAGAACGGGAAGCGTCCTTTTGTCCCCTGGGCTTATGAGATATTCCACGTTTTTAG